TTATGCAAATTACATCCATATTTGCATAATTGTCACATAACTATATTAAGCATCACGTAAGCTACCTACATACCAAAAATCACGACGATCTGTCAACCGGTTCTTGAGTTATCCCCTTTTGAATATTTTCAAGAATTTATCCCTGCAGTTCCAGAGCAAGCCGCTAGGGGGCCTAAACTCACGTCACTTCTTTCCCAGCACAAGAGCTACCTACCATCTAAATTTCATCACCATAGCATGTCTAGATCATGAGATATCAAAACCGGAAGTTCAGCTGCAGTACCATAACAAGCCGCTAGGGGGTCCAAAATCTAATCATTTTGTAGGTCTCATCAAGACCTACCCACCTACCAAGTATCAAGACAATCCATCAAGGCCTTCTCAAGTTATCGTGTTTACAGACAGACAGACAGACAGACAGACACACACACACACACACACACATACACGAACGCCCCTGAAAACATAACCTTCTTGGCGAAGGTAACTACAGTATTATTCGTTAAGCAACGCCTCCTGTTGAATGAGAACGGCATTGCAGATGTAGTTTCGTCTATCTGTTGACTGTGTAGTTGGCATTGAAGCATTGACTGTCTGACACTGTCTGTATCTTTGTACAGATCAACAAAACCATAAGAGGATTATGAGTTCAGCTTTACTCTAGCTATCATTCAGATTGATGCTGATATGGCCATGTATATGTCAGATGTCCATATAGATAAATAAATCAAAGAATGTTTAGATGTTTGAACTGTTGTGTATGTAAACGCTGGTTAGACCTCACACGTTCTTAGACGGGCATTGTAGTAAAGTTTGTGCGTCAATTGGGTTCCTTTGTATTTTCATTTGTGTTTTTATAGTTGTAGGTTTCATAAGTCCGTACCGAATACAAGCACAGGTCTGAATTTCAGCACCAAGGACAGGGCCAAGTTGCCATTAGACACGAGTTTAGCCTTTTCGTAGGGCTTTCCTTTCGTGAAAACTAAACTTTCAGAGGTTTGAAGTAGCATACACTACTTTTCATCAGTTGCCATTTTTCATTTCAAGTAGTGGAAACGCTTAACAGTTTCGTAATATATCCATTTCCTGGTGTATCTTGTATTGCCTGGATATCTTCATGTAACCTTCATAGTCATATATTGTATATTAGTTGACAAGCCCGTACAATGGCCTGCCTAACTACATACAAAGTCGTGATGTTGACATGATTGTCACGTGGAATGCGTTGTTTAAATTCAAATTCCAAGTTCAAGGTCATGAACACGTGTCCAGCACGAAGGTGTCATGCTCAGAACCAAGTGTTTCCACGTGACAGTCACGTCAGAATCACGTGCCTTGCACGTGACCGAGCCGACCAACCAACTGGGTTGAGACAAGAGGGGATGTTTGCAGGGTGTTTGTTGGGTGAAGTAGCGAAGGAAAGTTGGGACACACAAAAGGAGATAGAGACCACATGTCAGGGAAAATGCAACTGTTTTAATACAACTGTTTTAATGCATTTTTAATTGGGAGCATATTGTTTATAGCTTGGCTGTTGTTAACATAATTATTGTAATCCTTCAACGCCATGCAGTATAACAGAGGGATATATATTATAGATACATTATGCTGTAAATTGGACAAAGTATTGCATCCATTGGAGCTGGTTTGGACATGCAGTATCCTACCTCTACTCCAAAGTACTTCCGCCGGTTACTGAGCAGAGTTAATGTCCATATATTACTGCTATTTCTCAACAGAATGTCTTCTGTAGTTGTAGTATGCATTGTATATTGCTTAGAATAGAAATGTCTAATCCTTTTTTGGAGTTTCTTTGCATTACTAGTTGGACATCTTGCATATCAAGAGCAGTCCCAGCACTTGAGACATTGACTCAAAGCCTTTCACATAGCAGTCTACAGCGTTATAATATCGCCTTGGGAACATAATTACATAAGTCAGTGAACCCCGTTGTATTCCAAAACGTGCCATCCCATCGTTTGCCACAGCACAAGGACACATTTTGGAACATTCCGTCCGTATTTCATGGAGCGTTCTATTCCATTTTGGAATGCGTTCGTATTCCATGGAATGTTCTATTCCATTTTGGAATGCGTCCGTATTCCACGGAACGTTCTATTTTGGAATGCGTCCGTATTCCATGGAGCGTTCTATTCCATTTTGGAATGCGTCTGTATTCCATGGAACGTTCTATTCCATTTTGGAATGCGTCCGTATTCCATGGAACGTTCTATCCCATTTTGGAATGCGTCCGTATTCCATGGAGCGTTCTATTCCATTTTGGAATGTGTTCGATATTCCGTATTCCATGGAGCGTTCTATTCCATTTTGGAATGTGTTCGATATTCCGTATTCCATGGAGCGTTCTATTCCATTTGCGTGGCACGTCATGTATTGGAATGATGCACGTTTTGGGATGCAACATACCCGCGATACACAGACAACAGCACTCATTTAAACCTCGTCTGTCGTCACCAAACGGGCGCGATACATCCTCTGGTCGCATGTTAGTCTTTCCTTGGTGACAAGCCGATTTCGTGAATCGTCGAAGCGTCGTGGAAAAGCTCGAGTACCGGAGACGATGTGAATTAAAAACGTTGCACGATGAGAAAGGTGATGTCTTGTAAAAAGAACGAAAGGCGGTGGAAGATTAGAGAAATTAAGGTTTAAGTAGAGAGGGTTGGTGGTTATGTACAAAACAAGTTGCTTGAAATTTTAAGAATATGTGTGTCTATGTAGTAGAAGGAAGCCTTACACCAAGGGTGGTGAGCAGTGGTTGTTATCTTGTTTCAAAAGTGTGCAAGGTGTTCATTAATGTAAAAGATATTCCAGTTGGTTTTCTGTATGGAATATTCCTTAGTACATGTATGGAAAGTTAACGCTATAGAATGAAATGGACACATAGCCATTAGGTTCTATAGGGTGTTTGCAGTCACGTGGTTATGACGGCATTTATCGTCGGCCATGTTGGTGTGTTGATGGCGCGCATAGCGTCATTGTGTAAGAAATCGTCTTCTAACCATTTGGTTTTCTCATCTTTAAATTCCTTCTTCTTCATTTTCTGATAGCAGATTCCTTCTTCTTCATTTTCTGATAGCACAAGACTAATGCAAAGTATTTCCAACACTATCTATGCATTCCAAATAACTGGGCGCCATCTTGGACCTACAAACTCCACCAACATGGCAGCATCGTCTCTTGTTTCGTTATGTCACCTGCAAACACCCCATTGTGGTTGGTCGGCTCGTGGTTATTCAGTATTGTGTGTGTCTCAGCTGTAATGTTAACCTAATTTGTTATCTGTCTGTATTGGCGCCAGAATCCATTTTCAATGGTTAGAAAAAAATGCAGACCTATGTTAAAAGAATGAGCAGTTAGGTTAATTGGTGACCTGTTATTTCACTTCTTTCCACGTCAGTCTGTCATTTTTGCCTGTCAACTTTTGAGCTCAAATTAAATCATGGTCATCTATTTTGGAATCCATTTCTACCTTTTCAAATTGCATTTTTTTTCACGTGATATTCGTTACATTAGCACCAAATGATGACCGAGATTGTGGAGTAATTCACAGTCGAAGGCTAGCCCTTGGGACGATACTTGCCTTGCCCCACATTCGCTTACAACAACGATAACAGCACAACTTCGATCAATGCTACACTACTCAAACCGTTTCCTTACGCTAGTCTTTCGACCCATTCACTACCTGTAGCGACTCCCTGGTTATTCGAGTTTCGCTTCTCCTGGATTCGAACTTATACACATCCCCGAGAGACACAAAGCTCTCGGTCCCTCCCCCTCTCTTTTCGGTTCGGCTAATCGCCCTGTACCTTCCCCTCGTGATTGGTAGGTCACGGTCGAGCGCCAGTTCCGCGTGACAGGTCACGGACCCCGCGCAGTTGGTCGCCTTGCAGTAGTAGGTCCCAAGGTCGGCCTTCGTCACGCCCTTGACGGTCAAGGTCGCGGTGACCCCGTCGTACTGAATAACATGGCGGTCGTCGGAAACAATCTCCTTGTCGTCTCTCTCCCTAAAGGAGATATAAAGAAATTAGAACATTTCTTCTGCCACATATAACTGAGACATACAAGCACCTGATCTCAACCTAGAAGTTTCAAATACTTACTTAGTACTTCAATTCATCAAGGGCTGCTTTCCTTTCAAATACATAAGAGCAAAACCAAATACATAGAATCTGATTGTATTCCAAGGTTAAAGGTGAAAGGTAACGCGCACTGTCTGACCTCCAAGCTTAATATGCACCATCTGATCTCAATCTTTTGTCAAAGGTGAAAGGGCATTCCAACCATCTTAAGTTTATTCTTTTAAGGTTAAAGATGATCCTAATTTTCAGCATTTAAGTTGAAAGGCTATGCGTACCACCTAACCTTACTCTGGTTTATTATTAAATTAACTTTTGAGTTGCAAGGTTATCCATACCACCTGCCCTACTCTAAGGTTAAAGTTGAAAGGTTATGCGTACCATCTGATCTCAGCCTGTGGTTTGGCGTTGATCTTGCAGGTGAAGGTTCCGTCCTTGCCCTCCAGTGCGTCACAGTTCACCATGTAACGCCGGAACAGCGGAGCACTGAAGTACTCCTCATGGCCGTGTTCTGGGGAACAACAAAGCCACAAAGTCATCAGTACAATTGTTAAAAATTTTCACTTCTTCAGCAATCTGTATCACTGTGTTTTAAGCTGTCAGGATCTTACAATTTCCGAAATCATTACTTATCATCACATCGAGCAATAACTTTCTGTGGGCTGTTGAGCATAGACCTGCAGAAAAGTAAGCACCTTTGCTCAAGGTATACATGTATATCAAGAACGTACTTCTGATTCTAAATGCCAGCATCCACATATAAATATACTGTGACAAACTGTATCAATGAAAGTGAATCAGAGAGACCTTTATATGTAACTGCAGTTTATTCTCTTACAATCTAAGTACAGGTCATTGTGATAAAGTAGCAACAATTACTGTAACAGTGATATAAGAGGCTCAGCGTACTACCTTGCTACATCTACAAGGTCTAATGTTGCTTAGGCCACACCAATTTAATTTGTTGGTTCTCGGATTCGCCTCTTCATTTTTTTCTGATTTGCAAAAAAAAAGAAATTTCAGAATCAACTGCAAAATGCTCATATTTTGCCCTGAACAGTTGAAAACAGTCCTTTTCTTCCTAGTCGTTACAGTTATTCCATCTTTCAATGTAGTGGTATCATTAGAAGTTTAAAATCCATTGTTTAAATTTTGAACCAGCCTTTTGTGTTGACTTCATACCTCGTATCGTAGTATTTGGGGCTATAATAGGATGCCTAGATCTGTTTTTATTTTTATTTTTTTCGCCCTGTCGCTTCATATTTTTCCTGAAAAAATCCGAGAACCAACAAATTAAATTGGTGTGGCCTTAGTATAGAGTGTACAGTCGTTGACACAGTAGAACATATGTCCCACTCACCTCTGATGGTGACCTGACACGAGCACTTGTCGTTTCCGTACGGGTTCTTGGACGCACACGAGTACTCGCCGATATCGTCAGCGGAGGCGTCCAGGATGGTGAGCGTGTAGCGGCCGAAGTCCTGTCCGGTCCGAATCCGGCCGCCAACCTTAATCTCCTGCCCGTTCTTGTACCAGGTTACTTGGTTCTCAGGGTGGACGTTGACTGGAATAATAACAATAATCAATATTTTCTTTATTACATTCATGCCCTAAAGGGCTAGATGCACCTGTCGGAGGTGGAAGCACTGTGCAGTTTGCTAAGTTCATTGGGATCATATCTAAGGCATCAGAGATGATGTTATGGATGTTAATGTGCCTAGAGACACTATAACCTAAAATATTATATTAGCATAATCATGGGACATGTGTGTGAACTGTGGAGTGCTTTTTCCCTAAAATTGTACAGAAAACATATTTTATATAAATATATATATATATTTTAATGATAATTGTATATTTAATGTTAGTACAGGTGTAGTTTTAGCCAATGAATCGATAGCCAATGTGATATAATCTGTTGTTACCTGTGACAGACAGAGTGAGCGTTCCCCCCACCAGGAAGTTGGTATCTCTGAGCGGCAGTTTGAACTTGGGTTCCCGGGGACCGTGCATGTGGACATCCACCTGTGTCGCCCGCCCGAAACCTGCACCTGATGCCACCCCATCAACCTGGTGACAAATTCACAATTATTGTCTAATTATCTGGAATATTGATGGACATCTCTATTGTACATTCATGTCCTATTGGGCCAAGCATACTGTCAGGCATGCAAAAAAATACAAACGTTGTAGTAATGTACATGCATTGACAGTGGACTTCTAATACTTAACTGATACATAGTTTCTAAGACTATTCCAATGCACAGGTTTTACTTTTCCTTGTCCCTTGGTTATGTTGACTAATACAGGCTCCAATTTTTAGGCATTGAAATTCAAACTCTACTACTGGATAAATAACGGAGATAATTTCTGGATGCTTCCACCACTCTTCTTCAGCGTCACAAATGAACTAACAGTCGGAAAACTCAATATGTATGAACAATTGTAAAAACTGGTTGAACATGACAACTTATTTAAGCAGCTATCTGACTTACCATGGTGGCGCTCTCCATGTCCAGGCCCAGCTTCATTCTCATCTCCATGTCCAGCTGGGACAGGAGCAGCATCCGCTGACGCTTTCTCATGTTCCACTGTTCAGGGGTTAGACCTGCAAAATGGGGGAAATTTGTTAGTAAACAGATGTGTTAGCTTTGAATTTGATCTCCAATGCAAGCTAACTCTTCCTGCCAAATAAGCATATAGTGCTTTGACCGATTTCTACGTGTCTGCTTGACTCTAGACCATACGGTAGAGAGTAATAAACTAACAATCATCACAACGCACCAACTGCAGCAAAAACATTAACATGATCTCAAATGAGGAACTCTATGACAAAACTGGTTGTAGAATGCTATCTAGACTGAAATCACCACTAGAAAACTAAAATGCTTGGCCATGTATTTAAAATGGATGACTCAAGAATATCTAAACTTGAGCTATAAAAGGGAGGCAAACTGAAAACTACTTGAAGAAAACTGTGACAGATGACCTGGCATCCATGGGATTATCTTGGCAATCAGTAGATGGCCAAGTACAGAACCAGAAGGAAAGGTAATTACGTCTAGAAAGGGATAATGGGGTAAGTAAAAGAAAGTACCGCTCACCGAGCCTCTCCATCTGTCGTATTTCCCACTCCTCGATGGTGAGGCCGAGTTTGAGCCGCTCCGCCTCCTCAGCCTCAACCTCCAGAAACAGCTTATGCAGCTCCTCTTCAGACACCTTACGCACCTACACATGGGGAGAGGTTGGTCATTACATTGTATGTAATACCTGGCCTGGGCTGTGATAACAATAAATACACTCAGGTTTTCCAGTTCTGTTTGGTTATCACACAGACTTCCAAATGTTTCATAAAATTTATGGGCACCTTTCGCATTGAAATGCGTATTCCTCAGGTGAGTATGACATAAATGAAATGCACTTTGGGCTGGTACCTCTGGTAATTAAAAGGCATGAGCTTGCAATGTAGAGAAGAATGGGGCCAAATACACCAGCTCAAAATGCAGATACTTGTAGGGTTGATCCAGTGTTCTAGCCTAAGGGCAAATTGTATAACGTGCAGAGGTTTTACATTAAGAAGCAGAAGCAGAGGTAGGTTAAATTTCATTGAGCTTAAAAAATGGTCACCTTGCCGCCGCCAGCTACGTTGACATTCTCGTCGTACTCTAGCTCATACTCCGTCACCTTCCTGTACTCAATCTCCTCTTCTGCCCGGGCAGCGCGGCGAGCACCTCTGTGGAAGGAGATGAAATTTTTTCAGAACTCTCCAACTAATAAAAGTGAATGCACTTAAGGACAAAGGCACTGACTTTTACATTGATACTTTAACACTGACAATGAGCCCTGTCCACATTGACACAGTACTGTCCTGGTCATACTGTGTATGTACATATGAAAAAGCTTACACTGAATAAAAAAAATAGCTTGGTACATGTGTACTTTTTGTACTCATGAAAGCCATAACTATGATACTTGGTAATTCTGAGGATATGTACAGTGAGTCGTGTTTGCTCTACCCATAGAAAACATGCATTGCTTGATGTGGAAGACACAAGTTTGTTGTACATGTACTCTGAATGGACATTTACATGTATTTTGGCAGTGCATCTTTGTGCTAACTGGTATAGGTATGGTGCTCAACAACACCATACTGATTGCTGTCACCACTGGTAGACAGCATGCAATCAGTGTGTATCGCTTGTCTGTACCGTTTCTTCTTGCGTTCGGGCAGGCCTGTGTCGAAGGCGATGTCAGCGTGACACTCCTGAGAGCCTGCAGCGTTGGTGATGACGCAGGTGTAGGTACCCAGGTCCTCTTTGGAGACATTTCTCACCTCCAGAGCTGCCGTCTTACCGTCAAACGAGATCACGTGGCGAGGGCCATCTTTGATCTCCACATCGCCCTTCATCCTGGTACAAGATCATGGTTTTAACAAAACTTGTGAACATAACAGATTTAATGCCAAAAAGCAGTTACTCAAGCAACTGGATATGATTTTGGAAGTAACTTTTGTAAGTAATTTTCCAGTTGCTTGAGTAACTGCTTTTTGGCATATTGTACCTGGATGTCTAACCTTCATCGACGTATAACATATTTAAAGTAAAGTAACATAATTGCAGCCAAGTAGTTATACATAGATAGCTCAATTGTACTGTTGAAAAAACAATGGGCTAACAGACAAAATGGGTAACCAGGACTGTTACACGTCGATGAAGGTTAGACATCCAGGTAATACGATACGCCAAAAAACAGTTACTCAAGCAACTGGATTTGATTTTGAAAACGTCAGACGTTTCAGCTAGTATCCACTAGCTTTCGTCCGTGACTGAGAGACCAGAGGGGAAAACAACCCCACCCTCAACAGGGAGGGGGGGCTACGAGTCGATCTTTCCGGCACTTGGGATTTGGCACTCCCAGCCCCGAGGACAGACAACACTTAAGCTCCTGTTCTGTATAACAGGAGCTTTCAGACTAATTTGCATCATTTTGTCTTGACTTGTCTGACTTTTGTTCCTTTTTCGACTTCCAAAAATTTGTCTTCACTTTATTTGCATATCAATCAACAGGTTGTACTTATAAACCTGCTTTCCCCTCTGGTCTCTCAGTCACTGACGAAAGCTAGTGGATACTAGCTGAAACGTCTGACGTTTTCAAAATCATATCCAGTTGCTTGAGTAACTGTTTTTTGGCAGGACTGTTACATATGCTCTAGAATACTCACTCACACTCATTCACTCTCCGGTTCAGTATCTAGAATTTAGGGTCATTTGCTCTAGAATAATTTGTTGTTAGTTAAACATTTCATTAAAATCAGCTTAATTTACGAGAAACAGACACGCAAACCAAAAGTTCAGCCTCACAAAAAATATTTATTAAAAAATGTAATAAGAATCTGTACCAGAAACTAGAAATAGAAGTCTTACCATTTTACTTCTGGGACAGGATTGCCGTTGACCTTGCACTCGAACCTGGCGTCCTTGCCCTGCAGTACCTCCTGTGTGACCATGTACCGACGGAACAGCGGTACGTACCAGTCTTCCTCATGACCACGGGCTGGAATAAAGGGTGATATATAATTAATAATAATGGTATTTTGCCTAAGAAAAGTGTCCTTTGTTTCATATTGCTAAAAGTGACAAATAAAGTCTGTTCTGCTGTCCAAAAGGTCATTTTGGAGAAATAGACTAAATGACACACTTTTCATGATTATTATATAGTGTTTATTTGAAAAAATAAAGAAAGAAATGGAGTAGATTTTTGGAGCTGCAGCTTATACTTTGTTCTTGTGACAGTGTTTGACAGTGAGACAGGAACCCTCTTCAGATGACTTTACCACAGTGACTGTATTGTCTTAACCTATCAAATCTAAACCTATCTACAAGTATATGAGAAATAAATGGCATTATAGTTTCCTTTAATTGCCATTTTTAGTATCAATATGAATTAGATCCATACTGTCCATATTCTGGGGGTGCAGGTGAAACTTGTCTTACAATACCAGGTAATTTTTAGCATTACCTGCACCAGTGCTAATTGCACAAGAAAGTATTCTACTCACTTTTAGGTGTGACTTTACATGAGGTGAAGTCCTTGCCGAAGGGGTTGACTGCGGTGACGGCATACTCTCCCTCATCCTCGGGCTGAGCGTTCAGAATCTCCAGGGTGTACCGACCGTAGTCCTTGGAGAACCTGACCCTCCCTCCGGGTAAGACCTCCTGGCCATTCTTGGTCCATGTGATGTCAGGCTCTGGATGTACACTCACTATTGGGAGAAGCATAACTTGAGGAATGAATCCATTCAACCTTGTACTTACCTTTATAATGAACTACTTCATGTTGAATCTTAATTCACATTCAAGTAGGTATAATTACAACTGTTAAACTCATCAGTTGAAATCAGTTTAACAATTGGAAAGAAAAGTGGACGGCAATACGCGCTCCTATCATTATACAGTGAACATTTCATTATAAAATAGCACTCGTTTTCAATCATATTCGAATAAGATAGACGGTTTACCAGTGATTGTGAGCACGATGGTCTTGCCGGTGAATAATCCCACACTTGTACTGTTATGTCACTTGAATTGTCACTAGAACTGCTAAGTCACCATAGCCTGTACTTAGCTTGTAACTTAGTACAAATCTTTCATTGTAAGTTAGCCTGGTTACCAAACCTATTATAATAAACAGTGAGCAGATTATTATTGGACTGAGCAGAGCACTTTGGACTAATCCCTCTGGCTGGTTACAGCTTAGAGGTACATATCCAATATTTTCTCAGAAACATCTCTGTTACATAGCGGATCATAATGACCCCCAGCGGGGGTCTTCACTCTTCGTTAAAAATGGAAAAATCTTTATTCCAAAGATCTCAATATTCTGGACAAAATCTTGAGATCTTATGAGACAATCTTGAGATTTTTCATGACAATCTCAAGATCATTCAGAAAATCTTAAGATGAAAAGCTGTAACCAGCCAGAAGCATTAGTCCAAAGTGCTCTGCTCAGTCCAATAATAATCTGCTCGGTGTTAATAGCTTCCGAGACCTACATTTTCTCTGCAAATAGGTCTGGACCCAGTTGATTTCCGATTGATTTGCGGAGAGGATGTAGGACTCCGGAGCTAATGATAAAATAGGTTTGTAACCAGGCTATTGTAAGTAAGTCTAACAGCTTTTTTACCAGTAACTGTGAGCACGATGGTCTTGCCAGCGAAGAACCCGGTGTCCCTGAGTGGGAGGGTGAAGGTGGGCACCCGCTCCATCTGGAACGGTTTCTCCACATTCAGGACGGCGGTCTTCTTGTCCTTCTCCGCCACGACGGTGATCTGTCCGCTGTCTCCCAGGGCACAGCCCTTCACAATCAGAACCCGCTTCAGCCCAATTACCTGCGGAGGGATTAAAAAAGTCAGACCTAGAAATGTATCATATAATTGCAAAGCTAATGTTTACCTAATAATCACATGGTGGAGGCATAAGAAATGTGAGAACTAGAAGCTTTAAGGTAACATTTGCAAAGCTAGAAAGGTAACATCATGATGATATCTTCATATGGTCTAACCTAACAGACTACTACTCTGTTAATTCTAGCACATTCATATGGTGACCAGCCCCTCCAGCTCTATCCTGCCACTTGCTAAATAACCCAATGGCACAGTGTGCCTTCTACAGTACCAGTTACCATGCTGACCATCTGGTCCATGGGCAGGGGTTTACCTTTAAGTTAGTTTTCGTTAATGGAGAACGGGTCTAGTGAGCTTTTAGGTAGTGAAAATGTCTAAATTTCCTTAAAAAATTGGCACGACCTAAAGAAGCGATGACCTCTAGTGCTGACCTTGATCTCGTACTTGTCCGGGTTGGCGGCTGGGTTGATCTCGACGCCGTCTTTGAACCACGTGACCTCGCCGTTCTCCCGGCTGACCTCCAGTTCAAACTTGACGTCTTCGCCCTCGATGGCGTCGACCCGCCGCAGCTTACTGGTGATCTTCAGCGGAGGCTCTGTGGAGCAAGGGATGCGTGCAAAAAAGGTTATTATAACCTTTGGCCACGAGGTAGCTGTTTGGCACCAAATTTTTATTGTTTACCATGTCAGACAGCAGGGAAAAGGTTGAATTACAGATGTGAGAATATTACTGTCACTGTCTGTATCTTAGCATAGCCATAGGAAGTCATGTTTGGCAGTTTTCATCAATAGTAACAATAGGGATCAGAGATGAGGTCAGAGGTCAGTCTCCCAAGGGAGACGTGTCTTCAGCGCTCTTACACATGTTTGGATTTATTTTCTGTTTATTCGCTTTTTGACTCTTCGGAAACGTGCCATCTTGTGTCGGAAGTTCCCTAGAAGCAGCCTAGCACCAACCAGGCTGATAGACAAGCCAGGACACAGAGGCTGATCGAGAAAGGAACACGGCAGCATGGCTGGGAGAAAAGACATGGCGGCCGCCATGACGCAGCCCCCCGAAGTTACACCTTCAACAACGCATGAGAAGTCGGCTACAGGTACTGTAACCCCAGGTTGTAAACCCGTCTTCTTTCTAGAGAGAGATGTGCACTATGTCGACGTCTCTAGAGACGAGCCGTACTTCACAAATGTTGAAGTGTATAAAGGAATTTCGCGTTTTCTTCACGGAACAAAGATCTCCGGAATTCAGCAAGTGCGTGAAATGTGGCGAATTTACATACGTGAACCAGCCGATCGCGCCAAATTGCTGGTAACTGGATTTACTCTCCGCAATAAACATGTTGAACTCCGAGATGTGCATCCTTTCAGACAACAGGATGGAGTTCGGGTAACAGTTAGAGACGTCCCTCTGTCAGTGGATGATAACGTCATCATGGAAGGCCTGAAGAGGTATGGCGCGAACCTTCTAGGGCCATTGAGGCGAGAAAAACTCAGAGTGGATGGAAAGTTAACTAATTGTGAGACTGGGGACAGGTTCGGGTTCATGCGGGAACCTGCTAGCCCTGCAGAACACCTGCCCAGAAATGTTGAGTTGGGCGGTCGATGGAGAGCCCGCGTATTCTATCGAAACCAGGGATTCGAG